GATGGCTGGATGGCATCACCGACTCAATGGACATGGGTCTGGGTAGACTCTGGGAGTTGGTGATGGACAGGGAGGCCTGGCGTGCTGTGAGTCATGGGGTCGCAAAGAGTTGGACACAACTGAGGGAATGAACTGAACTGAAGTTGACAGAATTTGAGAAAACAGCAGAAGCTTATTTAGACCCTCTGCTCACCTTTCACCCCGAAGTAGGTCATAGTACTCTTAAGTGAGAAGTGCTTTCCCTATAGAAACAAAAGTGCATCCTCACCTCCAAAGACAAATGATGCCAGAAAGAGTCCAAATAGGCCTTGCTCAGTTTCCCCCAGCATGCTACACTCAGCTCATGCTCCTTGGCCTGTTATATTTCTCCATGAGTATCCAGTCTTCATCAAATCTAGTGCGAAAATTACTCAGGTTTCACTGTTTCTTCAGATGTTGATTTTTTTATGAAGACTAATGTTTCTTAAGACTTACTTTAAGTAAATTTACATGTTTTCTCCTACTACTCTATCTTGGTCAATTGAATTTTCAAAGCCAGCCAGGGATCCCAAGAAGGTGAAGTAAAAAAAAAAAAAAATTCCCCTAAATTTCTAAGAAATTACAATGAAATATGTCCTGAAGCTTTTCTTTGGTCTTGTCTTTTAAGACTCATAGATTTAGGTCTTGCATTGAGGTCTTTGTTCCATCTTCAGTTAATTTTTGTATATGGTGAAAGGTAAGGGTACAGTTTATTCTTTTGCATGTAGATATCTAGTTTTCCCACAACCATTTGTTGAAAATGTCTTTTTTTCTATGGAATGGTCTTGGCTTCCTTATCAGGAGTCATTTGACTGTGATTGTGAGAGTTTATTTCTGGGCTCTCTATTCTATTCCATTGTTCTGTCTGCATTCATGACAATACCACACTTTTGATTACAGTGTGAAAGCATGATAGTCACTCTGTTGTCTGACTCTTTGCTCCACATAGACTGTAGGCCTCCAGGCTCCTCTCTTCATGGGGTTTCCCAGGCAAGAGTACTGGAGTGAGTAGCCATTCCATTCTCTAGGGGATCTTCCCGACCCAGGGATTGAGCCATGGTCTCCTGAGTCGCAGGCACATTCTTTTTTTTTTTTTTTTTTCCATTTATTTTTATTAGTTGGAGGCTAATTACTTTACAACATTGCAGTCGTTTTTGTCATACATTGAAATGAATTAGCAATGGGTTTACATGTATTCCCCATCCCGGTCCCCCCTCCCACCTCCCTCTCCGCCCCATCCCTCTGGGTCTTCCCAGTGCACCAGGCCTGAGCACTTGTCTCATGCATCCAAGCAGGCACATTCTTTACTGTCTGAATCACCATGGAAGCTTTGCCAGAAGCTTGAAATCAGCAAGTGTGATACCTTTAACCTTGTCCTTCTTTTTCAGAATTGTCTGGCCATTCAAGCTCTCCAGGCTTACTGTTATGACACAGTTACAAAGAGGACAAAATTTGTAAAACACTTGTGAGGGTTCATCAGTTTTTTCTAAGAATCTTTCTTAATTTTTTGATACTCAAATCAGTGTGAAGTCTGTGAAGTATCTGTCATGTCATCATCCCTGTAAATTTGTCTTCATCTGTTCACTGGAGCAGCTCTTCCGTATGAGTGTCTTTCTAAGTGTCTGAACTGTGCTTTGATATCATGAAATCCTGCATCTTTTACAAGATGTAAAATTCTTTTTTGAAATAGATTTGCTCTTATATTTTGTGGTGCTAATAGATGTATACCTGTGCTAACCAGTGTGTGCTGCCTCAGTTGTCTCATTACATTAGCAGATCTTTTGTTAAGTAGGGAGGGATCTTAAATGTAGACTAATTGTTATAAATTGTCACTTGTGTAGTGAATGTTTTTTACATAATTAAACTTTGTGAGTTTGGGGTTTCTGATGGTAAGTACTCAAATAAGGATAAGTTGTCATTGTTGAGGCTATCAGAATGGATATGTTCCTGAGAATAAAGTGCTTTGAGAGAGCTGGAAAGAAAACCAAAGTGCTCACGAGTCCACTGACTTTTAGAGAGTTGAGGGCAAAAACATTAAGCATTCCTTCCTGGGGAATGAGTTCTTAAGGAATTATGACAAGAATTTGACTAATTAAATAAAAACTGGTATTAAACAAAGAATTTCAGATTAGTTTCTCAGGAAGAATGATTACCCAGGAAAGAGAAATGTGGGATGTGGTATCATTCTGTAAGAAAGAAAGAGGAAAAATGGATGACAGATGGAAAAGAACCTTGGGTTTCAATTTCTTTTAGAATAAAATGGAGGTAAGATATGTGTCTCCCATTGAGCTCCCATTGTCACACATGTTTTTTTTTTTCTTTCATGTTCTTATTTTTATGCACAAATTTTTTGCAGAGATACAATTAGAGACCATACAAAGCTTCTCATTTTTGAATTTATGTTGAACACTATTGCCTCTCCATGTTTCCTGGCCCGTGAACTACTCCTGCAGGGCTTTTGTCACAGCTGGCATCCACCCACCTTGACGTTAGTTAGTAACAGCTGAGAGTATTTCCCTTCGGAACTACCTGCAATTTAATGAGGGATTCTAGATATTTAGTAGAACCATATACAAAACAAAAGTTATAAATATATATGGAGGCGTTTCAAGCACATGTATAAAGTCGTTGTTTTATTCATTCTCTACTCATTTCTACTAAGGGTGTTTATTGAGTTTTGTGCTCACAGTATTAGACTGAGAACACAAAAATAAATCAGTCCTTAAGAAGTTTGCTATCTAAGTTCTCAACCAGGAGGCATAATAGCACTATCCCCATGTTTGAACATACCTGGGGGCAGTTTGGTTTGTTCCAATGACTTGGGGGACATTACTGGTATTTAGTGGGCAGAAACACTCTGGAAAGATTTGCATAGAGAAGAATTATCCGGCCCTAAACAGTGGTGTCTCCATTGATAAACAAACGCTAGAAAAAGAATACTAGTAGCAGTGATTTATTCTATACCATACTGTCTTAAGCACCTTACCTGCATTGCTGAACTTCACCTTGACACGCTGGGCTTCCCTGGTGGCTCAGCTGGGAAAGAATCCGCCCGCAACGCGGGAGACCTGGGTTCAGTCCCTGGGTTGGGAAAATCCTCTGAAGAAGGGAACAGCTACCCACTCCAGTACTCTGGCCTAGAGAGTTCCATGGACTGTATAGCCCATGGGGTCACACAGAGTCGGACTCGACTGAGCGACTTTCACTTTCTCACTTTCACTTGACATTTTGGAGTCAATACTACACTTTTTTGAATAGCTGACTGGATAAACAAGTCTTTCATGGTTATGCTGCTAAGTAGATGGCAGAACCAGATTTTAAACAGTGTTCTAGATTAGACCCCAGGACCTATAATTTTAATGACAATTAAATAACTTTTTATTATATTATATTCATAATTATAAAACTATTGTTTTAATAATAATTTAATAACAATTTTAATAACTGGCACATAGAGCTTCTTAAGGTAAAGGTAAAACAGAACATGGAGATCTGCATGCATGAGCATGCAGAACATGCATGAGCAAACCCAGAGGGCACAGACTATGATTCATTCATCTCTCTTCCTTACGCCTAGTGCAAGGACTGCCAAAATTCCTCTCCTCTAACCTGTCATTTTTGCCTGGAGAATCCCAGCGGTGGGGGAGCCTGGTGGGCTGCTGTCTATGGGGTCGCACAGAGTCAGACACGACTGAAGTGACTTAGCAGCAGCAGCAGCACCTGTCATTTTATTTAGTTCAATAGACTTTAAAAATAATTCACATCCAAAAAAGTTAAAAAACGCCACACCTCAGGGTGCCTCCCCATAGGGAAGGAGCGCGCCCAGCTCCTGCAGGATATTCAGGAAAGTCATCCACACAGGGACCTGACCACACCACACACTGGCTGGTTCACAGGACTTATTATCCTATCCTAGACATCCTGGTTCTATTAGCCCTAGCTGCAGGGACCAAAAGTTTCCTCTGCCCCTTCTGAAATATTAGATAATGTCAGTGCAGGGGGATAATACACTCTTTCTGTATTTCTGCCCTGCAGTGCAGCAACTGTTGCTCTTGGGGATGATTGTGCTAATTCTTAGGTCATTAACGCCAAGGACTACATGACTACACACTACTCTAACCAGAGAGAATGCAAAACAGTGCAATACATCTTTCTGGAGCATGAAGTTTAGTAAGATTGAACCAAGGGAAGAACCAAAGAGTTGGCAATAACTATCCTCTCCCCCACCACATGGAAGACAGAAGTGTGGGGGATGGGGACATGCCCCAGGGGACAGTCCAGTCTCTGAAGTTTCACCCAGCAGGGGAGGAGGGGCAGCCAGGCCAGGGTGGCGCCTCTTCTGGTCGCCCAGGCCCCTCCAGAGCATCCTCTGTGCTGGCTAGGGTTCTGGACAGGAGGCTTCCTGAAGGGGTGGAGGTGCTGGGTTTGAGTCCCATCATCCAGGTGGGAATATGCTGAGGTCCCAGGGGGCTTGGCAGGTCATCCACTGGGTGTTTCTGGGCTCACTTTATTTTTACCCCTCCTGCTGGGCAGCCCACAGCAAAGGTATTTAAATATACCTCTCCAGATTCTCCCAGCCACCGCCGTCTTTTTCTGGGTGAGGCCAGGGGGAGTGACTGTGGAGATATTCTCGGGCTGCCCAACAAGGGTGGAGCTTCCCGCATCAGGCACATCTGGGGGGCAGTGGGTCCCTTCTGGGACTTCACCGCTGACATCATGGGTGCTGCAGGCGTCACAGGTGCCCCTGGTGTCCCGGGTGACGGTAACATGAGGATCGTGGGTGCTGTGGGCACCACTGGTGTCACTGGCGAGACAGGTGTCACTGGCGACACTGGCGCCGCAGGTATCGCGGGAGCCACGTGCGTCTTCTGTGCTGCAGGCCCCAGTGCTGTCCTGGGTGCTTAGGGAGTCATGGCTGAGGCTGGTATCATAGGTGAAGCTGGTGTCACAGGTGCTGCAGGCGTCACAGGTGAAGCTGGCACCACTGGTATTGCAGCTGTCGCAGGTGCTGCTGGTGTCGCAGGCGTCTCTGGTGTCCCGCGTAGCACTGGTATCACAGGTGTGGCTGCTGTCACGCCTGTCACAGGTGTCACAGGTGAGGCTGGCCCTGCACGTGTCGTGGCGGTCACCGGCGTGATCGGTGGCTCGGGCGATGCTGTCTTCATGGGTGTCGTGATTGGAGGGGGCTGAGCTGGGGGTGACGGTCCTCGCCTCCGGGCAGGGTGGGGGAGTGGCAGGCTCTCTGGTCGTCTCCGTTGACTCCTGGCTCTCCTGCTGCTGAATGGTATCCCAAAGCCAGTCGGGAATAAGCATGGACACTTCAGGGCTGGCGGGAGGCGTATGTTCTTGGCTGCTGAGGTCGGAGGAAATGGCTGGCCTCACAATGATGGTGCGGGCCCCCACCTTGGGTTCATCCCTGTCACTGCCACTGCTTGTAAGCCAGCCCTGGATCTGGTCCCTCCACCAGCCCAGTACCATCTCCGCTGTCACCCCAGGGTACTCTTCACAGGCTGGCGGGAGTGGCTCCTCCTGGCCCATGTTCACCCATGGATGCTGCCAAACATCATCTAAAGTCCCTCTATTGGAAGGGTTGAGCGTTAGCATCCTCTGTATTAAATTCGTGATTTCACTTGATAGGTGTTTGGGCACATGGTACTGCCCTCTGAGGATGCACTGCCGCAGCTCCCAGAAATCTTGTCCCCTGAAGGGGAGGGATCCAGTTACCATGGTATACAGGACGACGCCGAGGCTCCACACATCCACCTCTGGGCCTGTGTAAGGCAGCCTCAGGAAGAGTTCTGGGGCCGTGAACGCAGGGCTGCCGCAGAAAGTGTCTAGCTTCTTTCCTGGGTGCCACTGGTTGCTAAGGCCGAAATCCGAAATCTTTATATTGTTGTTGGCATCAAGGAGAAGGTTGCTCAGCTTCACGTCCCGGTGCACCACGCCCCGCTGGTGGCAGTGCTGGAGAGCCGAGACCAGCTGGCGGAACGCGCCTCGGGCCTCCCCCTCCGTCAGGCAGCCTTGGACCTCCAAGTAGGTGAATAAGTCTCCCCCACTGAGGTACTCCATCACTATGAACAGAGAGTCTGGTGTATCGATGACCTCCAGGAGTTTCACAATATTTGGGTGGTTTACCATTCTCATACTGTTAACCTCTCGAAACAGTTCCTGGAGGTCGGAGAAGTTCTGATGTGTCTTTTCAATGACCTTGATGGCTACCATTCCCTTGGTCAGAACATGCCGGGCCAGTTTCACTTTGCCGAATTGGCCTTCACCAATTGTGTGAAGGATCTCATAATTTTCGATACGAGCCATCTTGTTAGTGGAGATGGCTATGAAGCCCTGCATCCCTAACTATACTAACTACCACTAAGCTATACTAATTACCTAACTATACTAACTCTACCACTAACTATACTACCACTAAGCCCTCACTAAGAATGCTAACAGTGCTATACAACTATTCTAATGCTAACACCTATAGCAACTATGCTAACTATATCAATGATACTCTCTATACTAATACTAGCAACACTAACTAAAATAATAATAAGAAGAAGAAGATAAAATGAGAAAAAGAAGTAAGGGGAAAAATGGGAAAAAACAAAAAATGAGGAGGAGAAACTAAAACTGAAACAAAAAAATGGTAAGACACAAATTTAAAAAATGAGAAAAAGACAAAGAAAAAAGAGAAACATAAAAAAGAGAAAAAGGAAAAAAATTCAACAAAATGGCAAAAACACGGAAAAAAGCTTGCTAGCTGTAGGTCCAGCCGTCAGGTCACCAAAATCAGCTTCCTGGGCTCTGTGGACAAAAACCTCCACCAGCTGGGGTCTTATAAAGGGTTTTTGTGAGTTTCATCACAGTGATGCCCTGTGAGGTCAGAGCAAGAAATGGACCAGTCGTGGCTGGGGATAAACCCAGTGGTTTTTCTCCCTTTTCAGCTTCAAGGCCCCTTTACACTTAGGTAAAAGGTCCCAAAGAGATTTTTCTTTAAATATATTAGAGACTGGTATTCACTTTGTTAGAAAGTAAAATCTGTAGGAGGCTTCAGCAACTTTTTCATTTCTAGTTTGAAAGTTAGTAATAATTTTAAAGACCTCATAATGTCTCCACTTGAAATATTCTTTTTCCTTAAACTCTGGTGGCAATGTGATGATTTAACTGACTTGATGAAACTATAGGAAAGGTTCTATTGTGTGAGACACTGGTAAAGCACATTATTAATGTTTATGAAGGCGAGAGAAGATTTGCCAGGAGGATCAAGAGCAGATTTCTCATCAGGAGCCTCAGAAGTCAGATGACATGGGTCAGTGTCTTTGAAATGTGTTGAAGGAAAGAAGGAAATGTTAACCAAGAACTCTATGTTTAGCAAAGCTGTCCTTTAACATCAAAGAGTGATGGAGGCATTCCCAGTTCAGGAGAGTTGGGAGGATCCCAGCTGCCCGATCTGCCCGAGCCAGGGAGCCCTTCGGTGGGAAGGAGAGACCCTCAGCAGTGACTCTGAGCTTCACGAAGAGAGAAGGGTCTCCGGCAAAAGGAGATGCATGGAGGCTTAGAAAGCCAGCGCTGCACCGCTGTATTAGAGTGGGCAACCAGCTCGGACCTACTGCATAGCATAGGGACTCTGCTCAATGACCTGTGGCAGCCTCGATGGGAGGGTAGTTTGGGAAAGAATGGATACACGTGTATGTATGGCTGAGTTCCTTTGCTGTCCACCTGAAATTATCACATTGTTCATCAGCTATGTTTTTGTTGTGCAGTCACCTAAGTGTGTCCAGCTCTTTGTGACCCCATGGATGGCAGCATGCCAGGCCTCCCTGTCCCTCACCATCTCCTGAAGTTTGCCCAAGTTCATATCCATTGTGTCAGTGATGCCATCCAGCCATCTCATCCTCTGACACCCTCTTCTCCTTCTGCCCTTAATCTTTCCCAGCTTCAGGGACCTTTCCAAAGAGTTAGCTATTTGCATCAGGTGACCAAAATACTGGAGCTTCAGCATCAGTCCCTCCAATGAGTATCCAGGGTTGATTTCCCTTAAGATTGACTGGTTTGATCTCTTGGCTGTCCACGGGACTCTCAGGAGTCTTCTCCAGCACCACAGTTTGAGGGCATTAATGCTTTGGTACTCTGCCTTCTTTACGGTCTAGCTCTCACAACCATACGTGACCACTGGGAAGACTATACAGACCTTAGTTGACGGAGTAACGTCTCTGCTTTTCAACACACTGTCTAGACAAAAAGATATGACACTGAAAGATGAGCATAAAATTAAAAGTTAAAGAAAAAGAAAAACCAATACTATTGTAACTCTGATTTGAAGTTCCAGTTTTTGTTTTCAATTTGATTTGAGACTAATATATAATAAACATTTCTAATACTTTTTTTTTTAATTTGGGAGAAAAATCTGATTGGTCTCTAAAATAAATGTATGTTTCAGACCTCAAGGATAGCATTTGTAAGTCTTTGTCCTCCAATATGAAGGCAAACCAGGGTCAGATCCCTTTGAATGCATCAGCTAAATGACAGAAGCTACAAAATAAACTGATGTGAGGCAATAATTGCCATAAGAGCAGACTTCAAGAAATGGAACTGAGGAACACTAGCAATAGGTGCATTAAGGTCTCAGAACCCATACTCCAGATACCACCTTGAATAATATAGTAAAAAATATCCAGTAAAAATTTTTATGAAATGTGTAGACCCTGTATTAGTAATAGTCTGTGTGCATATGTGCTAAGTCACTTCAGTCATGTCCAACTCTTTGTAACCCTATAGACTATATAGCCCACCAGGCTCCTCTGTCCTTGGGATTCTCCAGGCAAGAATACTGGAGTAGCTTGCCATGCCCTCCTCCAGGGGATCTTCCCAGCCCAGGAATGGAACCAGCATCTCTTGTGTCTCCTGCCTTGGCAGGTGAGTTCTTTACCACTAGCGCCACCTAGCAAGCCCTAATAGTCCGCAGGGTGCCATCCCAGGAAAGCACACACCGTGTGCCTTAAATGGCAGCAATTTATATATTTTCACAGTTCTAGAGGGTTGAAGTCCAGAATCAGGATTTTGTCAGGGTTGGTTTGGATCAGACTTCTCTCACTGGCTTGTACACAGCCGCCTTCTATTGTTGTTGTTGTTTAGTTACTAAGTCATGTCCAACTCTTCTGCAACCCCGTGGACAGGACTGTAGCCCACCAGGCTCCTCTGTCCCATCCTCACAGAACCTCTTCTCTGTGCACACACACAGACAGACAGTTCTGGTGTCTCTTCCTCTCCGTATAAGGACACTTCCTGCTGGATTAAGGCCCCACCCTTTGGCCTCATTTAACCACTAACCTCCTTATAAAGCCTATCTCCAAATAGAGTCACACTGGTCCTTAGGGCTTCAGTATTTACATTTTGAGGGAAAACAGTTTGGTCTGTAGCATTCTGTCTTTTGTTCCCCCCACTTCATGTCCTTTTCATGTGCTATTAAAATACACTAATCTCAATATCCCTAGAAGTCTTAAGCCATTCCAACATTGATTCCAAGTCTAAAGTCTCATTAAAATGTCACTTGATCAGGCATGGGTGAGAAGTGATACATAAAATTAACCCTCACAGGACCCATAAAGAAAATATAACACTTTCTTGAAACATAAATAACAGAAAAGTTGAACACGTAAAGGTATTCTCAGTGCTGTAATGGAGCCTATTCCATTAAATGAACTGAAACAGGTATTTCCAATTCAGAGTGCTGTAGAATTCTTTTTTTCAGAATGTAAGATGGGAGAATGAGTAAGGACAAGAGATTTTGAGAAAAGCAAATTATTGGAAGTATAAAAAGCCTTCCCTTATCTGATGTCAAAGGTCCTGCAAAGCTGTTGTAAGTAAAATAGAGCAGCATCAGTGCATGTTGAGTAGACACGAGGAGACTCAAAATAGACATGAGTCAGGGAGGATAATTAGAATACAGAAACAGACCCATGTTAAATGAGTTTAAAGTTCAAAAGCAGTTTGTCATAGAGGGAAGAGTTTTAAAAAATGAAAAGTATAAAACCATAGGAAAGTTTTAAGGACATTAAAGAAGACCTACTAAATAAATGAAAATACATCATATACTGATGGATCACAAAACTTAGTATTATTCACATGACAGCAAATTGATCTGCAGACTCAACACAATGCCTATCAAAACCCTAACTTCTAGGCAGAAATTGACAAGCTGAACCTAACGTTCATACAGAAATATAAAAGACCCAGGATAGCCAGAACAATCTAAAAAAAGAACAGAGTTGGAGGGCTCAGACTTCTCAGTTTCAGAACTTAATGCAAAACTGTAATAATCAAGGTGGTATGGTACTAACATGGGCTTTCCTGGTAGTTTAGTGGTAAAGAACCTGCCTCCCAAGGTAGGAGATGTGGATTTGATCCCTGGGTCAGGAAGATCCCTGGAGAAGGAAGTGGCAACCCACTGCAGTATTCTTGCCTGGGAAATTCCATGG